AGCTGAAATAATGGGTAGCAATATAAGGTAACAAATATAAGGTCACTCAGAAAATTCTATCTATAAATCAGCTATTAAATAAAAACAAGGTTGTTTTTCTGAGTATACAATGAAAAACAAATATTCTGGGCTTCACTGAGCTATGAACCAAAATTTCAGACATAAAACTAAGCTCCTATTCAATTTTCCATTATTTGCATGATTACCAAAATTCTAATATAGGCCTGAAAACCACAATAGATTTAACTACCTACCATGCCAGGGAGGTAGCTTGATGTAGTGAAAAGAGACAGTCATTGAATATTTGAACAAATGAAAGGAAATAGGGAAAGAAAGAAGAAGGGAAAAAACAGAAGAATAAAGGGGTGGCGAGGGAGAGGGAAAGTATAATTAAACATTAAAACTAAATATTTAAATACTAGTTTGGGCCGGTGGGGTGGCACATGCCTATAATTCCAGCAGATAGGGAGGCTGAGGCTGATTTCGAGTTCAAAGCCAGCCTCAGCAATGGCAAGTGCTTAGCAGCTCAGTGAGACCCCTGTCTTGGTTCAGTGGTTGAGTGCCCCTGAGTTCAACCCCCAGTACCAAAAAAAAAAAAAAACAAACAAACAAACAAAAAACAAAAACAAAACCAGTTACTGTAATTAATAAACATTTACTATTTGTTTATTTATTTTTGCAGTTCTGGGGATTGAACTCAGGAGTACTCTACCACTGAGCTACATCACCAATCCTTTTTATCTTTCATTTTGAAATAAGATCTCACTAAGTTGCCTAGGCTGGCCATTAACTAGTGACCCTCCTAACTCAGTCCCTGAGTAGATGGTATTACAGGCATGTGCCACTATGCCCAGCTTAATTAGTAGACTTAAATTTATTTATTTATGTTTTGATTAATATGTATTAATTATTCATATTAATTCGGTAAATTTTGACAAGTTTTAATTTTTCGGAAACTTATTCTCTTCATTTGAACATGTGGCAATACCCCAAAGTAAACTAAAATGACTTTTAATTATGCAAGATGAATAAGACTTAGAGGTCTACTGTATGGCATAGTGCTTAATAGTTAACAATACTGTATTGTACATTTAACATTTTGTATTAAATAAGTATTAAATAAGTATTCTTGTCACACACATACATAATAAAATCAAACAGGGCTAGGAGAAACTTTAGGAGGTGATGAATATGTTTATGGCATCGATTGTACTAATGATTTCACAGGTATATACAGATCCTCAAACATTAACTTGTATATGTTAAAAATATACAGCTTTTTGTATGTCAATAATACCTTAGTAAAGTGGTCTTAAACATTACTTTTATAAAGTGCTTGGTAAATAATAGGTGCAACAAATTGTTGCTGGTAATTCCTGAATTTAGGTAAAAATACTGCTGCTACTGTTTATCACCATCACTAAACGGTTATAGCATTATCTCAGGCATTTTTTAATTAATTATATGCAGCAAAATCTACATATAATAAATGTGCAGTTTTAAGATTATGGTGTCAAGTATGCCGAAAATTTGTATTTTCATAAGATAAGCAATATACAATTTGAAAAAGTCATGCTTCTCATGTTCTTTGCATAGAAATATGTCTCAGAAGATCTAAAATATTACCACCTTTACCTTTATTGTAAGGATTTCATGGATCAAGCACCTGAGCACCATTTAAACTGCAAAAGCAAGCACCTGAAGCAATAATGTTCTCATCCATGATTCCTTTGCAACTCAAGTGACTTTTTAAAGGAATGTCAGACTTACAGGGAATAAAGAGAATAAAGAGAAATACTCACCGATAGGATCTGGTCTCCTCTCTGGAGCTCCCCACTCAGGTCTGCTGGTCCACCCGCCAGAATGAAAGACACAAAAATACCTTCTCCATCTTCCCCGCCCACAATGTTGAAGCCCAAGCCAGTGGAGCCTTTGTGCAGGACCACCTTGCGTGGCTCCCTGTAAAAACAAGTGGAGAACATTCTTCACAGGGTGACCACTCAAGATTTTGTGTTCCTTTTCTTTCATTCAGATCTATGATACCTATCATTCACTGCTTATGATAATGGCTTACTAAAGTAAGGTACATTTTCTTATCAAGAAAGAGTCATTCACTGTAATAACTTACAAAATAACATTCAAAATCATTCCTTAATTCCCATTTTCTTTTCTTTTTTTCTTAAACATATCAATTTTTTATACTTTTATTTATTTTTATGTGGTGCTAAGGATCAAACCCAGGGCCTCGCACGGGCAAGGCCATTTTCTTTTTTTTTTTTAATCGATTTTATTTTTTTAAATACACGACAAAGCAGAATGCATTACAATTCTTATTACACATATAGAGCACAATTTTTCCTATCTTTGTAGATAAAGTATGTTCATGCCAATTCATGCCCCTCATTTTCTTAAACTAGGTTTCCTTCCACTTTTCTTTTGTGCAAAATATCTACTCTTGTATTAAGCATCACAAAAGTATTCAGTGATTGGATGTATCCAAAATAAAGCAGGGGGGGGGATTTTTGGAGATAAAAGAATGGACTGTATCTTGAAAGATCTCATATGCCAGTCTGTGGGTTTGTTGTTTGATTGTTCATTAAAATTTTTAGGAATTGAGGACTCATTCGAAGATTTTGAGGCAATTACAAATATTTCAATCTATTTTGGGAAGATTAATAAAAATATACGTAGGGTTGATGGAGAGGGCAGTGCAGATACAATGGAAGGCAGGGAAATATTTAGGATGTTGTCCAAGTAATCCAGGTGTGAAGAAGGGACAGACTGAAGAAGGGTGACTGCAATGAGAAGGGGAAAAAAAGGATAATGCAAAGGAATAAATTTGAAGGGTAAAGCAGTGGGTCCAGAGACTGACCCAGGCTTTGGAGAAGGAGAGAGGGCCTTTAAGTAACTAGCAAAAGGAGGAGAAGTGGAAGACAGGATTATGAGGATGAATATGGTTTTTACACTGTCAGCTAGTGGTGGGATACCCATGTGGACATGTTTTGAAGAGGTTGGAGATACGAAGTAGGAAATCAGGTCTTCAGAGAGAAGTGCAAATGATATGTAGATTGGGGGTTTACCAATAAAAAGTGAGAGATCAAATTTTGAGCAGTTCACTAAATTTGTGTAGAAGCAAAAGAATTATAGAACTATAAGAATTTTAAAAGATACCTAGTTTAATTTTCTAATCAGTAGTTGTAAAAAGTATGTTTGTAAGCCTTAGTTATGACCAAAGTGCCTTTTGTATCATCTACCCTCCTCTCCCAAACATCTAAGTTCCAATTACTCAAGTTGATCTCCTATTTTTCAGCTTTCCATGATCAATGATGTGAGAATAGTAAAGAGTAATCCAATATATTTTATACTAATGGCACATAGATTTTTTGCTACTGGTTTTCCATGTGTAAAGTTTTGCATTATATCTTTGTCTAGGCTCATTATAAAGAAGATAAGAAAAGTCACATCATAGCTTGAACTGTCAGTGATATATCACATAGTGATGCAGTCAGAGGTAGAGCTAATTGACATAGAGCTAATTCATTTCATCCTACTAATACTTTATAAGTACCTCCTGTACAAGGTTCTGTTCCAGATGCTCAGAATGTTTGCAAATTATATAAATATCCCTGCTCTTGTGGCTTGACATTATAATGAGGGCAGACCACTAATAAGCAATGGATATAATACATAAGTTTATTACATAGTATGCTAGGAAACAACAAGTATTTTGGAGAAAAAGAAAGCAGAGTAGTATAAGAGAGGATAGGTTGCATTTATTGAGAAGAGATATTTGAGAAGGGACTGAAGAGACGAGGAACCTAGTCATGAAGATATTAAAGGCAGAGCACTTCACCCAGAGGGGACAGTGTATACAGAGACCCTGGTGTGGGAAGGTGCCTGGTGCTGTCAAGGAAGAATCAGGTGGCCAATAAGGCTAAGTGAGTGAGTGAGGGAAGGAGAATCAGTTTGAAAGTTACTTCTCTTACCACCCTCCACCCCCCACTAAAGGTGATCACTATTCCTTGGGCCACATTGTCCTGCACATATAGCTCAACTGCAGCATTTTCAGTGTGCAGTGATTGCTTCTCATACCCTTTGAAAAAGAATGTGAACTCCTGAAGCCCAGGTACCAGTATTTTCCTAGCAGTAGAAGATGCCTAACAAGTTGTAGGAATTCAGGAAATGGTTATTGAATGAATGAATACATTTTCTGCAGTGATTTAAACCTCTACTTTATATTATAATTATTTATGCAAATGTCTTTCCGTCTTGGTACAATTTTAGTCAGGGATGACAGGTGTTTTTTTTTTTGGAATGGGGATTAACATCCCCCCCCCACTTTTTTGTATTTGTATTTTATTTAAAGACAGGGTCTCATTGAATTGCTTAGGGCCTGCCTAAGTTGCAGAGGCTGGCTTTGAAATCCCATTCTTCCTGCCTCAGTCAGTTGAGCCACTGGGATTATAGGTGTGCACCACAGCTCCTGGCAGGAATGTCAGATTCTAAAGTAAAATAAGTCCACAGGGACACACAGGTAGCACAAATGAGTGAAGTGGGCTGAAAACGAATTATAGCAAACTGGGGACTGTGTTTCATCTAAAGCACGGATGCTGCTGTTGGACTCCAGACATCAGCTCCTGGCAGGAATGTTGACCAATGTTGCCAAATGATCCAATTTTGAAGATGACCCAAGAATCTAGATTTTTATATGAACTTATCAGAGTTTTAAGTTTTTAAAATCATTGTGTTAGTCTAACCAAACATATCTTTGTGTGGATCCATAGGTGTCAGTGTGAAACAGCATTGTTTGAAGTTTGATGGCATGTGCTTCATGTGTTTCTTTTAGATGGTGCTCAATGTAGTACTTGACATATGGTAATTTTCTTAAGTTGATTTAATATTACACATTCAGTCTCTTCTGTGTCTTCCCCTTTCCAGGTTCTCCAATTCTGGAATACCCTTTACTTTTATCTTATTTTTTTCATTTTCTTTTAATTTTTTTTTAATTAGAACTGCCCAAGGTCCATCATCTTTATGATGACCTATTCCCCAAAACTTTGAGCTACAGCTCACACTTCTGCATATTTTATGGCCAAGACCACTAATGATGGGTCTGATTAATTAACACCCTGCATTTCTGTGAACTGCTTTGTGTGTGAGGGAATTGTGGTCTTCAGTGTGGCTGTGATCTCTACAGTATCATGGTTTATATTTCTAGGTGTTACTCATTCACCTAGAAGAGTGTTCAATAAATGCTTGATGACTGAATAAATGAACACACACACACTAATTTATAAAAAAAAAATATATATATATATTTTTACACTGAGAGATCTGAGCTTTAATTTGCCATGACATTCTTCATCTAGTATTTAGACGGCCTAGTGGCCCTTCTCTAGTCATTATCATATATCCTTATGCACTTGATCATGGGACAAAATTCTCATTCTTATTCCTCATTTAGGATTGATCTTGGAGATTGTCATTATCTGAAGACTGTGCTTGCCACTTTTATCAACTGCTCCACTGTAGTCTGGCATGCGTGCCTCCCCTAGCATTTTTTCCTATGTATCTATCATAATGATTATTAGAGTAGATTGGTTATTTCTTTCCTCTCCTGCTTTAGTGATCAACTTGAGAGCAGGGACCATATCATTGGCTTTTTGGCTATAATGCCCAAATACAGTAGTGCTCACTGTTTCCTAATTTCAGTTATCATATTATATTTTCAGTGTGTAACTCGAGCCAGGCATGGTGGCACATGCCTGTAGTCTTGGTTACTCAGGAGGCTGAGGCAGAAGAATCAGAAGTTTAAGATCAGACTGGACAATTTAGTAAGACCCTGTCTCAAAATTTTAAAAAAAGGGGGGGCTGGTGATGTTTCTCAGTGGTGGATCCCCATTAGGTTACATTTCTAGTACCAAAAATAAGTAAATGAATATGGTCTAGAGAAGATGAATCTGGTTACCCATAGTATTAGTATTTTTGTTTAAAAAGTTTTCTATAGCCGCCTACAGTGGCACACACCTGTAATCCCAGCAGCTAGGGAGGCTGAGACAGGAGGATCATGAGTTCAAAGCCAGCCTCAGCAAAATCGAGGCACTAAGCAAACCAGTGAGATCCTGCCTCTAAATAAAATACTAAATAAGGCTGGGGATGTGGCTCAGTGGTCGAATGCCCTTGAATTCAGTCCCCGGTACTTTCCCCCTCAAAAAAAAAAAGTTATCTATACACCCCAAATATGTTTTATTCATCCATCTGATCTTTCAATAAACAAACAACTGTGTTAGGTACTGTGAATACAAAGATGACAGAGCCTGGGGAAGGAGGAGAAACTTGGAAACAAACAGTTATGAGCTTAGGAACAGGACATGTGCTATGATGGAAACTTATGAGCAATAAACTAATGTAACCAAGGGCAAAGAGTGGCCAGCTTTCTTCTAAAAGGATTTTATTCCTTTATAATCATCATCCAGATAAAATGTAATATATTCATTTATGTAGTTTTACTTTTCTTATTGTGATGTAAAAAAAAAACTTTTATAATTACAAAACCTTTGCATGCTTGTGTGACCTGCTCCAAGTAGTGTCTGATCATGAGCAGTATAATCTCATCTAGCAGGGGTCTCAGAGGATGCTGTAAGCCAGCCGGGACATTTTCAGGACAGGTGAGCAATGTACTATGGGCTTTTTCTCCTTATTCCAGATGATGCAAAAATGTTCAGGATATACAATCTAACAAGTGAGGTGAAAGATTTCTACAATGAAACTACAGAACAATAAAGAAAGATATTGAAGAAGACCTTAGAAAATGGAAAGATCTCCTCCCATGCTCTTGGATAGGCAGAATTAATATTGTCAAAATGGCCACACCACTAAAAGCACTATGCAGATTTAATGCAATTCCTATTAAAATTCCAATGGTGTTCTTCATAGAAATAGAAAAAAGTAGTCATAAA